ATATGTATATAGCAGTACAGGCTGCGTTCCGATATTCACTCGCAGTACTGCAAATCTATTAAGAATATTTATATAAATACGCTGTCAATAATTATAAAAAGAGGTTGAAGTTATTTAAATCAGTGACATTAACATCTTTGTTATAATATTCAATAATAGCCAGCCGTTAAAGTATGCATACAACCGATATATATTGAATTTTTAAGATTACTGTATTTTTGCTGGGAAGGTATACGTAATACATCCTTAAGCCTTGTGTCCACGATCCAAGAACTGTGTCAAAGTTCTAGTGTTTCGAGAAATGCGCAGCCAATCAACATGCAGCTTTTACGGAGTAGCTGCAAGCTGATTGGCTATACGCATTTCTCGAAGCTAGAATTTGGACACAGTTCTTGGATCGTGGACACAGGGCTTTAAAAGGGACATTTAGAAAGAGACAAAGCTACTTCATCGCTTTACTGTTAATCTACTTAAATTAAACGTTATTTAAATCGCGCGACGATCCTGCCCCTTTCTCGACTCCTCGCGCTCTAGTAACTTATCGTCCTAGCGACATCCCTAGACGCGTTCTCTCGCACGCTCGTCTACGTTGGTCCGACTGTGCAATGGCCGTTCGCTCGACGGTTAAGTCAGGTTAGGTTCGCGCGGATTTGGCGCCAGTTCTGCGTGTTTACTAACAACCGTTCGGATTGACGTGTCCAGTCGGTCGTGGCAGTTCTCCGGCTTTCTGACTGAAACCCGAGTCCAAGCGAGTCGCCGGACCGTTGTCAAGTGATACCAAGATCGGCGGCGGCCCGTAATCCTATGTGCTCCGCTAAGTAGCGATGGTCAGGCGGAAGAACGTGCCGAGGTTATTTTTCGTTTCCTTAGTCTCGTCTTCTCACGCTCTTCGCATTCGTTATGCAATTGTTTCGTTCATTGGCGGGATCGTTAGAATTACGTTAAGGAAATGTTTATATTGAAACTATTGTCGGGTGTATTTGTATATACAGGGTGAGTTTTATTTCGCGAACCAATCTTTAACCATGAGAAATGGATTGTCGACCGCAACTGCAGCCAACTCTGGAGAAAGTGGCAAAAATCTCGTTATACACGTCTCAATCAGATAAGATCCAATTGTATCTCGAGAAATATAATTAGATATCGCATGACTGAGATGCGCATAACGAGATGTTTTTCCATTTTTCCCAGGATTTGCTACGGATGCGGTCGGTAATAAATCTCCTATGATAAAAGGTTGAAAGAATTTTTAATTCTGTAAAACCAATTCGAAGACAGCTGTGCCGCACTGCACGTCGGTATCCCCTTAACTCAGTGATGTATTGGTATTCGTATTGTAACTTACCAATTAGTTTAGTTTTATGTTTGTACCATTTTTTTCATTTTGTCTGTATATACACATTTGTATTTATTTGCCAAATATATTTCAGGTCTAACAAGTCTCGACACCCAGCGAAAAGAGACAGAGCGGTAAGCGACAGAGCGTGTTTAAATTTGATTTGTGAAATAAATTGTTATTTGTATTTATATACGTATATTGATACGTCCGTTAAACTATTGCCATGTCTTCTGATTTGTAGACAACTGTGATAGTCGACAGGCGTAAAAAGAAAAGCCACGTGCTGCAAGAAATTAAGCATCTAAGGAGAACCACGCACTTTCTTATACCTAAACTACCTTTCGCGCGCTTAGTCAGGCAAATCATCCTCGAAATATTCCCTCGACTAGACTGCAGGTAAATATGAGTTTTACATAATGATTGATTAATAAAATGAACATCAATGCTTTGTTACATAAATGTAATAAAATTTTCATAACTATATTTTAAAGGTATTTTAATTTAACATACTATATTGATTTTTTTAATTAGAATTTTATATGAAAAATTGGAGAGCAAATATGAATCTCTCAATGGAATCCTTCAACTCATTAGTATTAGACTACGAATTTTCCTTTAATTGGTTAAATTTCAATCTAATCTCAATCCGTAATCTGATACGTAAACGAGTTTAAACAGCACTTGGTGGCTTCGTGTCCATTTCTATCTATCAATGTAGCTCAACTTTAATCTCGGTTTAACTTGCTTCTTATCATTTTCTACTTTTTTGAACTGGAAGAGGATAAAAAATAATTAAACCGAGATTAAAATTGACCTGGTTGAAATACTAATAAGAGTCGATTGACTTGTAGAATACAAGCCAGCGCTCTCGAAGCCTTGCAAGAATCGACAGAGATGTACATCGTGCAATTCTTCGAAGATTCAGTATTGCTGGCGTTACATGCTAAACGGGTCACTCTTATGCGAAACGATATAATTTTAATGCGCAGGCTGAGGGGCCGCAACGATATCATCAACAGATAGAGAATTTTATTTTACATAAGGGTCAGAGCTCAAAGCAACGTAATAGCTTGCGTTTCGAGCACAATATGAAACAAAATTTTTATTAACATCAATGTACATTTCATTTCATTAAAATTCGCATTAACATTGAGTAAAAAGCAGGGCAATGGTTATGCTGCCCAGTCCTTAAATCTAAAAAAGAACAGGAAAGCAAAATCCAATTTAAATTCGTTAAAACAGTGATTTAGGGTCAGAGCGCAAAGCAACGTAATAGCTTGCGTTTCGTTGCTTTGTGCTCTGACCCTAAATCACTGTTTTAACGAATTTAAATTGGATTTTGCTTTCCTGTTCTTTTTTAGATTTAAGGACTGGGCAGCATAACCATTGCCCTGCTTTTTACTCAATGTTAATACGAATTTTAATGAAATGAAATGTACAGTGCTGTTAATAAAATTTTTGTTTCATATTGTGCTTCATTTAAAATGGACACTTTAAATACAAAATATAGAAAATACTTTTAATTCGAATCTCAGGGATAGAGGACAAGACAATAATTTTGTCGCACTTTATGAGACATTAATCGAAATCGAAATAATATAAACAAAGAATGTTGCTTTAAGACTTGTAAAACACTGTTATCTATTGTACCAGTATTCGCTACTTTGTCATAATTTTATTCCGTAATAAATATTACAAAGTAACTGAATCAGACTATCCCTCCCCTAAGATGTTTATGAGTTATGTGTTTAAACTCTTAATAAAAAGTGACGAACAAAGAAAATAAGCACACTTACACTTTCACCCTTTTTTTCCTCGAAATACCGCAGAGGGGACCGAAGGTAAGCGGTCTTGTCTCGTTAAATAAAATTTATTTCTGAGAAACATTTCAAACATCTCGATAAAATTCATAACTTTACGAAACTTTGGTAAAATATACAGTTTTGCGGATCTCTTAAACTACGAATATCGAAGCGTTGCCGTTTAGGCTCCCAACGGGAGTGCGTCGGCAATTGGTATGATAAAAACAGTGTTAAATAGTAAAATATCGCGCGACCTGAAAAACAGTCACGGCTGTGTATCGGGTGTTCGACTTCGAGCATGCTTGTATAATGATATTCCTTGTTAAAAGTCAATATACATTTGTTTCTTCCGATAAAATCACACGTGAATAGTCACGACTGACAATTGTAGGGTTTTTATGGGACAGAAATCATGTAAAATTAGTCTTCGACTACTTTTGGAGGAATCCCAATTTAATGGAGTCCTGACTTAAGAGACTCGTATATAACTTTGAGATTCTACACACTGCAAAATAGAACATTGCGTTTGACTAAATGTTAGAGAAAAAGTTAGTTTTTCTTTAATCTTGGACGTTCAAGAAGGGATATCGCAGAATCACACGTACTATCGAACACCCCATACAATTGTGTATAATGTGTTTTCGGTGTTAGCTGCAGTAAGAACAACCATAATTCGTAACCCACGCGGGCCACGTGCGTCTTGAATCGCGGTCTAAAGCTAGCGCCACGCTATGCGCGATTCGTGATTCGTACACTGAGAAAAATGCTTTGATTGTATCAACAAGACATATATGATAGAATGTATTTTGGTTGAACCAAACAGAACGTCTAGTTAGCACGAGAGGGCACGATATTTCGTAACCAGAAGTTTGCTAGACTTCACTACACATCTGGTAAATCCTAAAGGAATTCCGATTCGTTCATTTTCTAACGGACGACTGGTTGAATCTACCAGACTTTTAATTAATGCAACCAGATTTTTGTTCAGTGTATACTCGTGAATAGCGTGGAGGAAAAATTCGTCGATTCGCAGTGATTCGCTAGCCGAGTGGTTTTTTGACTAATATTGAAACTTGACTAATTGTTGACTTGAAGTTAAAAGTTGTCGAAGTTAACACGAACGAAACGACAAATAACAAATTACGAATGATAAACTGCGAATCACGAATCGCGCATAGTGTGGCGCTAGCTTAAGAGAAAAGAATTGCCTAGAAAAATAGTATTACAAATAACGACTTAGCCGCCTTAGCTTCTCGATTCGTTCGTTCCTACATATACAATATACAATGTGTAATGTATACAATACGATTCAACGGGAGAAAATACAAAAAGGCACCTGAAAAAGCAGGCTAATTCGCGTAAACACGCGTATCCCGAACCGAAAGTCTCGGGATTTCTACGAAGACACTTGTCGCATCTTTAGGCACAACATTTCGTTATACTTTCATGCTGCCTGTCATTGTACACGAAGCGGATCACGAAGTTTGGGTTATATTTTCGCATCGCGAAATTAAATACACAAAATTCAGGAATCACCGACTGCTGAAAATTTTCGTAAGCAACGGCCGGAAAGATTCTTCTTCAAACATGTAAAAGACATCTAAATGTTCACTCTAATTTCATCGGCCGAATTTCCTTTAAATGCCTCCTTTGATTTTTAAAACTATGATTTATTCGATAATAATAAAACCTTAAGCTTCAATCAAGCTTCTTGTAAACGTTTTCTAATCTCACTCTCGAACGTCTAAAAATTTTTCGAGAAATCCCAAAAAAACCGCCGAAGCGATTTCCTCTGATTCTCAATACTTTTAAACAATTCTCGTTGGACATAAAATTTTTCAGGTCATAAAATATTTCGTAATTATCCAAATTATTTTCCACAACATCTTTCAGACTTGGACCTATTTTCGCGCGCTTTACTTCGACCAGTTTGCGGAATTAAATAACAAGAAGTCTCGCTGCTTCACTTTTTCATGAACGACCGCACCTTGTTCACGCACTTGTCCATGAAGTTCCGCTTGCGCTTAGGCTCTGCACCCGTCGGCAGCGATAACAATGAGCCCGGTCCCTTCGCGCGGGCTCTGTGCCCGCCGTATTCGCTTGACGAGACGCTCCCGTCGGAGTCCAATCCCGCACCACAGCTTCTTGATGCCTTCAGCAGCATCGTCGACCTGCCATCGTTGTCGTAATCATCGTTTTCGTCGCCACCTCGCGTCGTCAATCTCTCTTGCGCTGTCTTCCTGACCCTCTGCTCTTCCATCGGATGCTCCTGGTCCGCACACTGTCTGCTGGAGCATGTCGAGGACTGTCCTTCCGAGCTGGAACGTCGACTCGGTTTCGGAGGACGCGTCGGCAGAGCCTTCTTGTCATTCTCATCCTTACGTAGGGGCATTCGCATGTCCTCCGTTTCGGACTTCAACTCTGTAACGTCAGGCACTTTTGGCTTCATTCTGGGAACCGGCCTGGGTTCATCCTCGGACTCAACGGTCTCGGTATCAAGCTTCTTTCGGTCTTCTTCTGAAGCAAGGACGACTTTGTCGTCTTCCGAGCTCGTTGGAGGGTATTCTCGGCTCTTCTCGCGCTGAACTTTGTCCTGCTCTTCGCCATTTTTCGCGTCTTCATCCAGCAGACCGTCCAGACTGCGCGACCTTGGCCTGGGGAGCGGCGGTCGATGGACGACCGTGGTAGAGACGGACTTTCGCTCCTGATCCTGTTGGTCCAGCAGCTCCAGCGAGCGGGATCGCGTCGACGGCGAGGGTGGCTGCCGTGGTGGCCTGCGAGGCACCACCAGGTTGCTGCTGGCACCCACCGGATGCGTGTACATGAACTTGAAGCGCGGCGACGTGGGCGGCAGGCCCATCAACCAACGGGATGGACTCGACGACTTTCTAAGTCTATAACACGAAAACAGAACGTGTTACAAAATCAACAAGAGATACGTTTCTCATTCGCCTTCTTCGGTGTTAAAGTAAGACGAGGATGATTTTCGTACATCTTTTTCACATATCTTTCACATTCGTCGATCGAGGCAAAATCTGTCGTACACATTAAAACTGAACTGAAAAAGTTTCCTAGTAATAACGTCAGTGTTCTCTTGACCATACCTGGTATTTTTAATAATACAGAAAATTTATTGCGAAAAATATTACTTAGGGTTTGAACCTGGACCTCTCACCAATTCGACCACCGAGACGTTCGCCTAGAGTGTAGGGAGATCCAGGTTCAAATCCTGGCTAAGGTAATATTTTTCGCAATAAACTTTCTGTATTATTAAACATGCCAGGTATGGTCAAGAAAACACTGACGTTGTTCATTATCGCTGGCGATATTGAAGAATTTTCTAGTACTCTTGAATTTCTTAATTTTGAATATTAATTTGAATATTGTTAATAGAATCATCATTCTACGGTATATCGCTTCATTCGAGAAATTATTTATTCCATATTCCTACCAAACACCGAAGACTTATTCGATACAATTACATCATGCAGTTTTACTACCCAGACTTCTAGATATAACATAAATATAATATGCATGACGATCATGTACATAGACATTAGTGTCTACGTGTGGAAAATTTAAGTTACTGCGTTCACCAGTATACACTTTCGCGAAACTCTCGTTAATGAACAATTCAACATTAGCATCATTGAAAAATTCGATATTAAAAGATTTACGCTAAACAACAAAAAGTCAAATTTATTTAGTCATTTTTATTGATTTTCGTCAGCGTATCGTCTACTAGCTAAAAGATTTAATTAAAGGTACTAAAAATTTAATTTATTCCACACGTAGACTATGTAATAAGCGTTCGACACTCGAATAGACAAAAACTTATCTAAACCTTCACTATAAACTATACGTTTGCAGCACAAGCACATGTATCTATGTGTAATACATTTGGAACCGAAAGTGCAATGATATCGACAGTACCAGGGACTGATTCAGTGTAAGGGTTTGGCAAAGCGGCAGGATGGCGACACATTAACACCGTTTGAACATCGATAAAGAATTTGTATCGCTGACTGACCTAGTCATGATTGTCATAGAGCGATTCGCAATCTTGGCTGCGTGAAAAAAGAAATTAGCGCTGCGTTAGTAGAGCTCGCTTCAAAGTCACATCACGAATCGATTCGTTAGCGGCCAGCAAAGAGTTTACTAACTTTCAATGATTCAGATCATTCAAGATTTTCACCACCACTTGTAACTGTCACTTGAATCTCGTTTGAATATTTTTCGTAAGAAATATGAATTATTAAAAGACTGTCAATTTATAAAACTTAATTCAATGACTTGTTACCAAACTCTCTTTCCTTATTCAATTACTTTTAATGAAGTTGTTTCAAAATATTAATGAACTAGTTGTAACAGTTGATCAATCAGTCGGGGTTTGGTTCTTGGTACCGGGGTGTTAATGGATTCTGCAAATTTCAGATCTTTTTTTTCTGGACATTGACGAATCGATTCGCTCATCAAACCAACGTCAGGGTGTTATATGCTAAATTATCAGGGATAACTACCTGCTCGATATGGCTGTGGGCGGGCCGTCTAGTCAGTCTCGCCCGCCCGTAGAATCCTTGTCGCTGCCCCTGCTTTCGTTGCTGTGCATTCGCTGATAGTTGGGCGGCTGCCGCATGTTGGTGTTAGCCGGTGTGCTCGGCTGGGTCACGTCCTTGGGAGCCATGCTGCGCGGAATTCCGCCAGACAGATCAGCTCTCATAGGTATCTCGCCTCGCATAAACCTACGATCACGAGAAGCAAACACCGGAAAGTTAACAACTGTCGTACAGATCATGCTTTGATATATTTGTATCACGTTATCAAAGTGAAATAATGATGAGACAATTATTATTAATAATATCATCTCATCACTAGGTAGAAAACAGCGCTGTCTTTTTGTCTTTGCTCGAAGCCAATGCCCCTTTGACAAAAAAAGGACAGAAATAAAATTTAAAAAGGAAACTGGTTATTTTTCACCTTTCTAACTTGTCTACGCAAGCGTCTTGATAGTCGTGAATCCAGCGGACACCGTTGAAGTGGCAGACCGCTCGCATGTCCTCAGGAAGTTCCTCAGGTTCCGGCCATTGAAAGTTGTCGATGATTGGAATTATGTTGCATTGCGATTGCAATGCGGCAACGATCTCCTATAAAATAATCGAAAGCGCAAATTGATACAACGCACGTTGCAAAAGGTGAGCTTTTCGATCATTCTTATGTATAATTAACATAATTCGGCGAAAAGCGTAAAACTAAGAAACAATAACACGATACGTAACATATTAATATTTTAAAGTAAAGTTTAATCTTATTAGCTTCTCTACAGCATCTGTTAATATGTTTGACGATCCGAAAAACTTCTTCCCCTCGTGAAAAGAAGAAAAGAAGATACTAGTGAAAGAGATATTTTCGAAGCTATCTCTCCTTTATGTTTCAAGTTCTCTCAAAAATATGTTAAATTGAATAATTGTATTGAATTGAAAAATTCGTTCGTGTCTTTTGCTAATTTCGAGACACTAAAACGAAGAAACAAGTGGCATATAACTGGAGATAACAAAAGTCTCAAGATCTTTCTAACAATATGAAGAACAAGAGGAAACATATATCTCACCCTGTGCACCCAATCCTTGCACTCGCTGTCCTGTATACACCTCTCCAGAGCCTGGGGCGTGAGCACGAGGAGGAAGTGTTTGGCCTGCCTGATGCTCTGCAACAGGTTGTTGTCGAACTTGCCGGCCTCGAGCCTCTCGACATCGATGAACACCGAGAAGCCGCGCAGCTGCAGATGCACCTTAAGCAAACTCGCCAATTGCGAGCCGTTCGATCTGCGGTAACTGACGAAGACGTCGAGGGACTTGTCGGGCGACTCGTACTCGCACGAGCTGAACTGATTGTGCTGCATGTTCTTGATGGCGTCGAGTATCCTGAGCCGATGGATACTGTTGGTGATGCCGCACTCGCTCAGCAGCTGGTCCTCCGACAGATTGCGTATCGAGTCCTTGTCCACGCCGGCATTCAGCATGCTGTACGTGTAGATGGAGAACTCCTGGCCGATCGACTGCAGGAAGCTGTTCAGGTTACCGGTGTCGCGGCTGCTGTAATCGGCCATCTTCTTCAGATTCTGCAGCTCGCGGGCGAACCTGCGGCGCATGATACCGTTGGTCAGGCCGATATCCTCGCGCAGATTCTCCTCCGTCAGCTGCAGCAGCAGATCGCCATCCACACGGCTTTCCACGAAGTTCGGTGCTACCTCGGCGAAACCGATCTGCTTCACCCATTCTCGAACGTCCTCGGTGGACCATAAGGGCACTTGTTGGCTGAGTTTATGCGGGATTTCCTCGCCGATCAATCTTAAGGCCTGCGCCGCGTACTTGGACGCGATCGCGTTCGGGCAACTGGCCACTTTCTTCAACGGCTCGATCGCGCCGATCGTCCGGAAGATATCGGTGTTGCCTTGTTGCTTCTTGATACCCGCTTCCATGCAGAAGTGGAAAGCTGCCAGATTGCGAGCCTCTTCCCGCTTCGAGCTCAGGACCGGCACGAGCCTCTCCAGCCAGTTCTTACTCTGACCATGAGCGTGCGCCAAGTTCGACTTGGCGAACTCGTAGGGGTTGTGTGACGTAATGAAGGGCTCGACTAGGTCGAGGGTGCCGGACTTGAGGACGGCCGCCTCGATCTCCTTGTTGGCGACCAGCACGGCAATCGCCAGGCAGGCGTAATACTTGATGTTATCGTCATTGTGGAAGGCAAGCGGGAACAGCCACATCGGCACCTTGCGCTTGATCATCGCCTCCTGGTTCTCGGCGCCGCCGTACAGCGACAAGTTCGCCAGCGCGCCCGCGCAGTGGCGTAGAGTTTCCACGTCGTTCTTCCGGCACTCAAACAGCACCGCGTCCAGTCCGCCCAGCCTGATGACGTCGCTGCAGGTGCCCTCGCTGTGCTTGAACAGATGCTCGAGTATCCCGGTGCCGACGCGCGCGTGATCCACCGAGTTGGCGTTCTTCGTGCACACGCACGCCACGTTCACCACCTTCTCCAGGCCGTTCTCCACCACGTGGGCGCGGTTCTCCGTCGTCAGGCATTGCTCCAGTAGTCTGGCCGACGAGAACTGTAGCTCGTGATCGTTCACGACGCAGTTCGACATGAGCAGATCGAGACCGCCACGCGTCCTCAGGGTGTTGCACAGGGTGTAACCCAGCTCGTGGCCGTGCGTCGGCACCGCCCATGCCTTTCGGATGATCTCGTTCACTCTGTTCAACAGCTGCGGCGCTTTACTGCCGCTGCTGCTACTCTTGCCGCTGTCGGCGCTTGCCTTCAGCCGCTCCACGAAGCTGTCGAGCAGACTGCAGTACTTGGCGATCGCGCAGTCCACGTCCTGCGGATTCGACTTGGAGCACAGCAGGTCCAGGTCGTCCAACGGTAAGGATAACAGCTCGTCCTCGGCCGTCGGCGGTCGCATGCCGTTCATCAGCTGATTAACCGCGCTTGCCGCGCTAATCATCGATTTGGATGAGCTCACGCCCGACTTGGACGCGATCGTGATGCTCGACTGCGAGCTCGAGGCCATGTGCTTCTCGTGGTTGAAGATGCCGGTCGAGGTGACTGTCTGTCGTTGCTGTTGCGCTGCCATCGCTTTCTGCGAAACACGAAAACATTGCCTGTCGATCACTTTCGAAATTTTGAGGAAGATCGGCAAAGACATCGCCGAGGAGGTCTTGAGGAAAGAAGTCGCGGGCATTGTCGAATTTGACAAGGATTAGGAACACTACTCGTCGGTGAACGGAACAGGAGTGCTTCGTATCTCGAAGAGTGCTTTTCTCAATGATGTTTGAGATGTTAGCATGGCATTTAACGCAAAGTAGTAATGAAAAGCAGATAATGTTATCGGGAACGTTGATAAGATTTCTCATTCATTCTCATCAGGTTTGAAAATCATCAGGAATTAGATTGAATATCGGTGGCGAGGGCGGCGCAGAGAAATGTGCTCTGCTTAGTAAACAGATGAACGGAAAGATCCAAGTTTAAATCCACGGATTTAACACCGCTGGCTTTTTCGGAATCTCCCGAAGGAAAGTGGCAACCACCAAGGGTATCTCGCCACACATACCCCTTTAGAGGTAGAGCCCACCAGATTGCAGGTTTCCTTCAGCAGGGTTAGCAGCCTACTGAAGATGAAATACAACCAAATGCTCAGAATACCAGAACGAACTGGATAAAACAGGCTTTTAAGCCTAATACACGAGGAAGAAGAAGAATTGTATATCGGGTAATACATTACGCTATACTAGTGTGCAGGGTTGGGAAGTAACTCGTTACTTGTAATGAAGTTACAGTTACTTTTCTGGTAACTCTAACTTAACTTCGTTACTTTCTCTCCATCTGTAACTTAACTCAGCAACTAATTTAATAGTTACACTAATAGTTACTTTATATATGTATATTTTAAACCTCCACAGATCGCATTAGGCCTTGCATCTGCGCATGAACGCCTTCATCGACGCTTTACAATTCGAATGCAAATTTGATATTTTTATTTTCGTTGCAAGAAAGTAACTGCAAAGTAACAATTCGTTACCTTTTGAGTAACTGTAACACGGCACTTTTCAGAATTGATGACTTGTAACTCTAACTAGTTACATTTTTAGCGAAAACCTAGATACTTTTATAAAGTAACTTTTCCAACCCGGCTAGCATGCAGAATTAGCATGTAAAGTTTGCGCGCACAACACCCGCGAATACGAGAAACATAGAAATCTGATGTTACGTTGACGTCTTCGAATCTGTCAAATTTTACGCCTTACCATTCGCGAGTCGAGGCTGCACTTCCTTAGCATCATCCCGAACAAGTGCGAGTGTGATTCTGCCGCTTTACGAAATCTCTCGCGAGCTTCTCGAATCACGCGAGTCCGCTTTTCGACTGGGGGTCCAATCGCGAGTTCGTCGGCGTTTAAATCACCGCTCGTCGCATCGCGGACGCAGAAGCAGCGTTGAACAGCGACGCGACCTTGCGTGCCAAAACGCGGCGTAGTCGTCGCTCGCGGTTCCCCAACGTCGTTAAAGACGGCGATTTACGATTCGGGCTGTCGGTACGCGGACGTTTTAACGCGCGTACCTTGGTGAACCGCCAGAAGTGCGAACATAAGCCGGGAAAAATGCGCCTCGCGCTTTTCCGCGATCGTTTGCGTCGGGACAATCGAAAAAGTTTTGTAGTCCCCCACGTTTTTCCGTAACTAAGTACTTATGATGAGAAGAAGCGTTCGCTTACCTTCTCGGAGGTAAAAGAGTCGCTCTGAAGCTTCATAGTGGATGCTGCCATGTTGTTGCTCTCCTGATGCGAGAGATCACCAGCCTTCAAGCTTCTCTGCTCCTGAAGAAGAAAAGCAAACATTGTTTCACTCTCGATTATAATAGATTCAACATATCAAGATGCATGAAGTCGCTCTTTTGGAAAATCCTGCAATTAGCCAAAAAGGATTTTCTATGTTCCTCCGGTTGTTTCTCCACGAGAATTCATTATCTACTATACCAATTGCAATACCATAAGTTTTATCAAACACTAACATCACTCATTATCATATTATCGCGCGAGGAGAATCGATGCTCGTCACAGAATAATTACCATCCACTGTTATGCTTCATCTACAGTGTGCTCCTTGTATCCAGAAGCATTCTATTTTGTAATCGATATACGTTTAAAAAATTTGTTGCAAGCAAATAAATTTTTTAAGCGTATTGATTTACTTGCACAAAATATAATGTGTCTAATCGCGAAGAGATCGGGCGTTAGCGATTCGGAAGAAACGTGTCTTTGCCATCGGGGACCGTGAAATTTTTCGCTTTGCTGCTTTAGCTTCGCCCAATTTAATTTCCGCCGACAGAAATGAAGAAAAAAACCACGTTCAAGTTCGACGACGCGAGCTGCTGATAAAAATTGCATTTAATTCCGGGACACCCTGTATAACGTTCCGTCGCGCGTTGCAGGGAATTAGCGCGTATTATCGAAGGTCCACTTATGGCGCATTCGCTAATTTGCAGTAGCAGATAGGCGATAGCATCTCGTACTGAGAGAGTACAACTGTTGCACTGTACTCAGTATGATACGATTTTTTTCAACGTCCCGACACGCAGGCACAACACGCACTTCGTGAGCAGTAGCGCATAATGAAATACGCACTTCTGTCATTCTAATCTTTCATCCGGCTCATCCTGAACGGACGCGCGCGCGCGAGGAATCGAGAAATCGCGAGATTATTGCGCACGCAAAAATGTATTTATAGCACGATGTATATATAAATACATCGCGAAAAAGAAAGCAAGAAAGCGCGTAATAATTCCACAATCTCATCGCGAATCATTTTAAACATTCAGCATTTCGCCATTTGAACAGTTCTGCCGTTATATTGAATCAAATTAGCTCAATTACAAACGTAAACGCCATTTAGGACCTGGCACAGCTGGAGGTAGCCAATTAAATTACTGTGCGAATCCTTAAAAAGGACCGGGTTAAAATTTAGTTAGATTAAATTAGTATCGCGGAAAAATGACGAATATGCATACAAAAGGTTACTCGAAGGTTCGACGATGCAGCAAAATATTTGACCACCGAAAAGATTGAAATCGTTACATTTATTCTTTAATCTATCATCATCATATTTAAAAAGGAATACCTTATCGTTGCAAGGAGAGAAGAGAGCGGGAGGAGCACTTCGATCCGAACGATTATAATGAAACGAAACTTAATCGCGGCCAAATCGATTTTTGATAAAGGCCAGGCATTCAATCGCACGGAAAAGTTAAATACTCGATGTAATATCGAGTTTTTATCACTGTCGCCGCTCCTCTCCCGGTATCGGAAAACACAACGGTACTTTCCCCCTCGAGACGTCGCGACACAATGATCGGCATTGTCGAAGGCTCGTCGATCCCGGTCGTTTTGTCTCCTCGTCCACTTCTCTCCTCTCGCTCCGATTCTCCCGACGCATTTCTCTAAATATAATTCGTCGAGCGTGTCATCACAGCCGCCTGTTACGCGTTAAGCTCGATTTTGCTGGAACCGATCCTACTGTCTGCCACCTTGCTTTGTAATTCATGACGTCAATGATAATGCAATGAATGGGCGTATTAACGGATATCGAAGAGTGTCGTCTCGAGTTGTCGCGAATTTCGCACTCCGGTAAAAAATAGAATTAACAGAACAATTAATTCTGGTCTACAATAATCTTCACGTCACAAATTTGAATGTATTCCCAGTGGAAAATGGTTCGATCGATGTTGAAACGTTGTCGAATCGATATCGACACCTTCAAATTGATGCCGATTCGACATCTCTTGCTGGGTTTGATACCGAAATTATTCTCGAGGCAGGTCTCGTTAGTTTCCGAAAGCGCGATTTATCTTTCGAGTTCGATTATTCTGCTCTTTCCTGTCTCAATTCTTAATTCCGCGTGCATCTTCTTTTATCGCTTCTTTTCGTGGAGTATTTGAGAACATTCGAACAAATTTCTTCGCTCAACTTCCCTTACGAGTGACGTATACTCACGTCGCGCAAGGCCGGCTGTGCTTTATTCTTAGATCGGTCACTTGCGGAATTTTGAAAAATTTCGAGTGACGTGAACAAACCCTCAATTTTAAATACGCTGATATTCCGTGTAACCCACCGGCGGATGTTTTCAACGGTATTTACGTCAACGACGAACCTTCTAGACGTTCTCTCGAAAATGTGCGGCTTTACGGAATCGTTTGACAAAAATTTGTATCGGCTCATTACGAGATTATTAGCGCGAAGAAAAGGGATGCGAGTCGAAACTTCCTCCAGACTTACCAATCGCGAGCGTTCGAACCGTTTCCGGTGCAATATTCCACGATGTATCGGCCACGGCGCGCTCATATTTCAACTGAGATTCACATCACACCTTTGATACAAAAATCGATAGTTATAATTATTTTCCTTTCATTTTACACGTAAGATAAATTATAAATGTCCTCTCCGAAGGCAATTCATAATTTGTCTAAAAAAACATTCCGCGAAAAATGAGAGTGTGACTGCCGATAATTTTGGTAAAGTTACATTCAATTCTGTTTCAAATTATCAATTAAACATACTCGGTAATCAATCAATTCCTAATCAAAAATGTCTTGCGTTATAAGCCTCGGTAAATAATGTCAATTTTTTTTAATTAATCTCAACAAAATTACTTTCTGTTATCTCGAAAATTGCTTTGTTATTTGTTACTAATTCCACATTTTACACGTGCGTTCGATGACTAAATTGAACTGCAAGACAAACTTCGTCTGACAGCTATCGAACTATAATGATTGTAAAGCAAATTAACCGTTTCCGATCGAGTCGTGGAAAGCACGGGAGCTTTAGATCACCGAGTGTGATGGCAGCGCGTCGTAAACTAATCTGGACTGTGCTTAAGTGTGATTCACCACCCGAGAGAGTTTAATTTCGTTCCGCATAAAGCAGAGAGGGAGAGTCGGAGGGAGGGAGGGAGGGGGGGAGGGAGGGAGGGAAGGAGAGACAGAGAGAAATGCATTTCCACACGTCAATCGCGTAATCGGTGCAGCGGCTTTTTAACAGCGGTCCCACCGTTGCTGCTATTTTTCGACCTGCCTAGAAATAGTTCACGAGCGAATTCATCTCACGAACGACTCGGCCGCTCGTTTCGAATTCGCGCGCGCGGACGGACGGTAATAAACACAAATTTTGATGCCCCGCTCGTGATTTCAACGCTCACGTCTGCATTCTCGCGGAAAAATTATCGTAAACACGGAACGACTCTTGCGGCTAAATAGACCGGAAGATATACGACAATAGAATGAGTTGCAATTGCGCAACGTTTACGTGAAACTTGTTTCTATAATTAGTTTGTTAATCACTCAATTAACTAATTGTTAATCTATAATAATCTTGCGATCATTGGCCCGAGTGCGTTTTTAGATAACACTACAATTTTTCACTTTTCTAGATAAAACTGCAATTTTTTACTTTTTCAGATAATACTATAATTGTGCGCGTGTCTTTCTTGCACGAGTGACAAAGTGCACGGCTCTCCTCTGTTATGTAACGTTCGACGCACGAGTTAAAAATGCGGCACACACTTCTTGTTTCTGTTACGTTAATAGCTGCAATTTCGATACGTTATCATATCGATATATCAAAGTTCGACGATCGGCTCCGCATCGATCTTAGGAGGTCAAAGTCGAGGCCAAAGTCGAGGTCAAAATCTCTTTCACGATTATGCAATATACAATATGTACGGTAAATCTGTATATACGACGCTCTGTTGTGTTCCACAAATCATCCCCGTCGTCGTGAACCCGCAAGCCGAATTTTCGCGAACAGAGAGAAACCGCGATTCATACATGGAGAGAATTTCCTCTTAAAATTTATCCCGAAAATCTTGTAATCGTGGGACGACATGGCATTTTGAAGAACTTTATGAGTTCTTGAAATTTTACCATACATTTTACTAGTAATTATACTTGATAAACATTTTACTCTGGGAAGAAAAAGACAGCAACCCATTTTGGGGCCCACAATTAGTAATCGAGGTATTTGGATTGTTCGCATCTCTAATCTTTTGCGAATTTTGCCCCGCGTAACTAAAAATCGCAATTAGCTATTCTATCTACATCCGAGATTTTCAAGTAATACCAACTCGCACGCGTGTACTAGCTACGCTTACACTTGGCGCGAGACACTACAGTGTCTCGTGATCAATTCTCTCAATTAGTTCTGTCGATATTCAGTAACGCAAAGATATTTTTTTTCCCCCCCAGAGTACTGTGTATCAATTGTAATCTGGCGGCTGTCTTATTGTTAGCCGAGGCAGCGCTTATCGAACCCTCATCAGTTCCTTATCGTCGCGACTCTTATCGCTCGACCCGGCGACGGCGCCGCTCCGGAGTTTTTCGGGAAAACCCTCGCGTGTCGCCGGCGACGCGTCCTTGAAAACGCGCCGTCGCGATCGACCGATTAATTCCAACTACTGCGAAACGCTCGCTCTATTTCGATCGCGGTCTACCGACGTATCGGTGACACCTAGCAGCATTCGTAATCGCCGGTCTCTTGGCACGTCTTCCGACGTCTCACCGAAATCTGAACAATGATCTCACGTCGCGTCACTGAATGAACAGCAAACCAAACAACAGCTCTGTCATCGCCGACAAGGTGCACGACTCTATTTTAACGTTCCGTCGTTGTGACGTGCCCACCGCCGCTCTCGGAAGCTCGGAACCATCCCCCGATTCTAACAGCACTTCTCAAGGCAGCTTCGAAGCTAGTCTGGCGCGAGAGCTGCGACGCGCGGATCTCATTGCTTCTCCTCTCGTCCTGTTAATTGCAAAACGAGGCGACTTCGCGCGAACAACGGCGAGGGGGAATAACACCGAGACTGTTTGTTACCCTCGCGACCCGAGGAAAGTAGAACGTTCGATTCTGAGCATCAAGATCGTCGTACCATTTGCGAGGCGATGTGGTCTCCGAGGATTCGTGGATGAGGATGGTCGCGCGGCATCGCGTTCTTACGGGGCCTCGGACACGGGAAAAAGCCCCGCGTCAGCCTCGACAATTGCTGTCCCATACAACATGCAACCAGCCAACCGACCGACCGACGACGAGCAACGTCGCGAACGAACTGCTCCTTTTGCGGGGGTGGCGGATTATCGACCCGGGGGTTGTGACGAGGGGGAACTCGCTTTCGCACTCGGTCATCCCCGTGGCTACCGTCTGCACCCCCTCCCTCTCCGCCGTTTGGCCATGGAAACGAGGGCGATGTCTTTGAGAAGTGTGGAAAAGGAAGTAAGAAAGTAGACGATCGCGAAAGAATCTCTGGTAAGGGTACTCTCTACAATTTTTCGCGCAAAAGTGCTGCCTTGGAGTGAAATATTCACTCGAATGGAATGAATATTCAATCTGTTGGAGTAGATATTCGCTCCAATAGGGTAAACATTTCACTCCATGGTAGTATTTTCGCTTCAAAAACTTTAGAGGGTAATTCGAATATTAGGACGAACGAATAGTTGGCGCGCAGTTTCGAGTTGGAAAACGTAGGGGAAAGTCCTCTGTTATGAGATAGGATTCTAATGCGAGACAGTAGGCTGTCATCGTCCAAATTCCTTGACTCTCCCTGTCTCTTCCTGTCTCTCCCTAACTCTTCCTGTCTCTCCCCGACTCTTCCTGACTCTCTCTGACTCTTCCTGACCCTCCCTGACTCTCCCTCTCTCTTTCGATAAAGTTTCCGTATATTTATATCCAATTAGGACAACGAGGAATTTGTGACGATTGAAAACGTGTGCGCGTTTTAAAACGTACCGCAAAGTTCCTAACAATTGACGACACTAATGTTTTCAAATTAATGTCTCTAAAATCTGAAGAGCTCACACATTGAAGTAACCACTCGGTTTCACGAAGTTAGGTCTCACGAACGTCACATTGCTGTTCTAGGAACTACTTGCATCGGTCTAAGTGGGAAATCCTTCTTAGTTATCGTTCTCTTCACGTTGACGCATTATCTCCAACAACATCTTATATAACAAGACGCTAACATGGTAGAACGAAATATAGATATACGTGCATGCATGAAGATACAAGTACATATCTATATAAACTCAAATTTCTCGACTTCTTCATTCCCGCGGTAAAGAAATTTATCGCGCCAGCTGCCAGAAGGATAAAAATATTCCAAAGATATAAATAAACGTGAGGAAAAATCGTATTAATCGACAGATCTTTTTATCAACAAGCACTTATAGAATTCCGCTGCGGTCTGCTCCGACAATGAGACAACATCGAAGACGTTGTTCTTTACCCAAGTTTGGCGGCATCTGTCGGGAAAGCTTTCAAGCCGCGAATCGTGTAGAGATAAGTGTAACGGGATATATTGTGTGCTTTTATCAGACACGTATGTACAGGGTGTGTGTCTCGTTTTCAATTTATCGCGCGCGCGCGCGATCGTACGATTCGCGGTAAATTGTCTCCGAAATCTAATTGTGCTTTCCTGCGAGACATGCCTGGTCGATTGTTATTCGAAATTTCGTGTAATTTTTTGCAAATTATACGGGGACATGACACGCGACGAGATCGAGCGAGGCGCCGAGATTCGCGCGCGCTGACACGGGCGTCGCGTCGCAAGGCCGACACGTGGGGTCAAGGACAATGCGACGCGTAAAAAAAAGGAAGAAATAATGGCCGTACACACCCACGAGCGAAGTAGCACGCAACCGTCCGCGACTTTCGAGCCTCGTGAGCCCCCGCGTCTTCTTCGTCCCGCGACGATTCATCTTCCTTCCGAGCCAGTCGGGGGCTTTTTTGCTGCCGGTTGAATCTACCCACGCGTTACACGCGAAGATGCCATCAGCGAAGGAACGCCCGTGCGTTTGGAAGATTAATTATTTCCCCCCCCCTCTTCGTAATCGAAATGATGCAAAATGTGGTACTTGGGAGATTGAATGTTCCTTGCGACTTCTCGCGACACAATAACGCAAATTGAAAATTAAAGCAACGCGCGATACGTAGAACACGTGCGATCTGATGGCTGAAATGGTTTTTGTTTTGCACAAAGGCACAGCATGGAGTACGCAATTTGATAAAGAGTTTCTACCCATTTCTTGGTAATAAAAATTTATACAATTCAGAATGCATTGTATAAAGTTAATCGTTTTATGTAACAAAAGTAAAAAATATAAAAATATAATATTTGTGATCTTTTCAAAATGATAAGATACTCTACACGAGTCATTTGAAAAGTTCTTTAAATGAAGATGGCACTCGCACATAGACATACGTTAAACGGGAGGTTCCAACCCTTCTATGAACACGTGCCAAGCTCCAATTCGTTTTATCACATGGATTTATCTTTTACAGATCTTTGAACGGACATATATCTTCGTGAATTTTTGAAGTGAATAAACTCAAAGTGCCGCTGTGACTAGTAGCAATAGTAGCCATAGAAGTGCAGCTAGTTGGAGCTAGGCTAGTTCTCAACATCATCTAACGTGGATCCAAAAAGTTCTTGTGTGACTCCGCGTATCAAAGAGGCTTCCTATCTATTCTTTGGGGAAAACGCAACTAGATTTTTGGGCCAAATTTGTGATTATACCAGCAGTTAAATTTTGAATTTACGTTTCTCGCCCTCTTTGTATTGACCAAGAAACAATTCGGCGCTAGTAATTCAGTTTGTTTCCATTTTTTTTCCGTGGGCCAAGCTCAGATTGGAAGGCCTTGAGGGCCGGATCCGGTCCGCAGGCGGCCAATTGCGTATCTCCCTTAGGGCCTTAGCAGACAAAGGCTATTGGTCAGTCGTGACTGTATTACTGCCTGCCGGAGGCCTACACGCCATTACAAAGACGAAGATGGACCTTAGCAGAATGGCTGATTACTTTCGAGACAATGTTTTATGCAAGTCTTTGTTTTAAGTAACGCACAGTAACTGTCTTGTATCTCAAGTCCTAAATGTACGAGGACAACGATTGCAACGAATAAACGTACGTAAGCACACGAAAGTAACAATTTCACTGTATGATTACCAATATCTTGGCCTCAGTTTAGTTCGTATAATTTTTTAATTGGGAGCAATGCGGTCGAACTAAGGTCTTTGTGTCGGAGAAAATCTATTGAATTTTTTACGTCAGATAGACCGAAAAGAGTCGCCATTTTTGACAGTAAAGAAGCCTGTGCGAGTGTAATCAACAGAGGTTCAGTAGATCCTCTTCGGCCTACGAGGTTTCAAAGAGGGTGAAATATTTTGTTACATTCTCTTTGAGGATTAGACAGAGATTAAACACAATTTTTTACTCATCGGGGCCTCAAATTGGAGTTTCAAACCGACTCCGAGGTCCAACTGAAGACAGAATAGAACAATTGAGGCCCATTCCGGGACCAAATACTCGACTCGGGTACTAATAGTGAATATTTTATGAACTGTCTTAAACTTACAAGTCAGTCATCCTGCTAAGGCATTTATTCTCACGTTAGCAGAAAGGTTGTGGAAGCCTTCAGGCCAAGATGCTCTCCGTGGGTCGCCCAATCCCATCGTGAGGTGGCGACCGAGGCGGAGCAACCCAATAGAAACCGACAATTTTTGGGGGGATTTGAGCCCGGATCTTCGGCTCATTGGAACAGCGTATCTCATTATCCCCACTGAGATTAAGTATCAAACGAAGTACGGTACAACTTTTTTGTTGTCGCATTCTCCCCATTCGTCCTACTTAGTTTCGTCGAATTTTCATTCCCACGGTTGAAGAAACGCCTTGCTCGGGAGAGATTTTCGAACGAAGAAGTAAAAGAGACAGTTGTGACGGATATTTTGTACCATTTGACGAATCGAAGTTTCGTAATGCGATAATGAGACCAGGAAGCATACGTGACACAAACGCGTCGATGTAAAGAAAAATTACGGTGAAAAATAATGGTAATTTAAAAAAAAAATGAAACAACATTCCGATAACTTTTCAAATAACCCATATATTTTTATCGCGGATGAATTTTCTTTTAATATTAATAAGCTAAGTCCCTAGCTTAGAATTACAAATTGAAGCTACATATCTAATCGTATCTCCAAGGCATACATTGTATTTAAATTTCAAACTAAGTTTCTAGCTTTGAGTTGCAAATTGACGTTACATATCTAATCGTATCTCTAAGACATACACTGTATGCGTGTTTAAAATTAACAAACTAATTCTTCATTAGAACATGTGTGTGTTATATATGTAATATTTTCTTCCGAATACTTTTCTCCCGAACTCACAAGTACGATTCTTGCCACACGGAGAGAACTTTCTCTTAAAATTTATCCTGAAAATCACGTGATCGAGGGACAACGTGGCGTTGAGAGTTTTTTGGAAATTTTGCCATACATTTTACTAGCAATTATATTTGGTGCATATCTTACTGGTAAACTTTCAAAAACTCTCACAAAGTTCTTCAAAATGTCACGTTGTCCCACGATCACATGAGTTTCCGGATAAATTTAAAGAGAAAGTTCCCTCCGTGCAGTTACGGGGTTTTCTTTCGTTTCTCATTTTTTCCTCATAGAGAAAGATCGCGGATTCGTGGGGTGAATTCTCAATCGTGGAAGCTCGATTCTATCGGGTGACCCGCATCGAGCGTGGAAGGAGCTTTCGTTTCGTGATTATTTATGCCCGGCGGCGTGTCGTCATCTAAATTTAGACGAATCAGCTAGGTCGGCTACTACGTGGCTCTTGAGTCAGCAGCGTGCGAATTTCTGAACGCAAGCCAAACCGACTTCTCGTGTCGAACGACACGTCGTCTCACGATTACACGAGACCGTACTATCCGCCTGTCGCGACGTTTGCTCGTACCTCGCGGTGGCGTGCGTTTCCTTTGCGAAATCACTGCCTTGGCCGATAGTCAAGGCCGCGATTGCGGTCGTTATTGGATGAGAAATCGCAGCTTCGGCTCGCGTTACTCAGCGAAAATGTTATGCGATTTATGCAAGGTGAAGATGCGCGCCTCGAGGCGCATTCGAGTGCAACTCGACTCACTTTGTCTCGCGTCGTTGCCTATTGTTACAGGTATTTTAAATCCAGAGAGAACATAGCCGCTGGACGATAAGGCAATTTTTTATTCGCGAAATACCGTTCTTTTCTGTCACAAAGAATCTCTTAAAGCCTAATTTACAATGTGCTCTCTGCATCTAGAAACATTCAATTTTATATAAACAAATCGAAACGCTTAAAAAAATTGTCGACAATAGTACCGTGCATGATATACAATTTATCCACTTGCGCAAATTTTTTAAACGCATTTATTGGCCACAAAATGGAATGTTTCTAGACGCAAGGAGCACATTGTAGATTAGGCTTAAATACCAGGCGCAACTAAAATATCGTCATGTCCAATTAACTTCCCTTAACAAAGGTGAATTGATTATTTCTATTTTTTGTTCCGGTAGCAGAAATCCTTTCTGAGGGTGCGGGGCTAAATCGAGGGACTTTATTCCCGACGCACAGAGCGCAGCTTTCATCTTATTGTTAGCGTGCGACGCGACAAGACCCCCTCGATACCGTTGCGGCAACGCAAACGCAACGTACGCACGGCGCGTGTCAACGACCCCCGCAATCGCGCGCTTTTACTCGCGCGGGAACCTCGTGCCAAATTATTCTGCCGCGCCCACGGGGAGGGGGGGGAGAGTCTTCCTCCCGGTCCTTTTGTTATCCAGACGAGGAAGGTCAGGCTCTCGGAGAGCGGGAGCGCCTCCGAGGAGAGAGAGAGTCCCCCGGTCCACCCACGTCACGACTTTTAACTCGATCGGGCCACCGCATTGTTTACGCACACGGGGGTCTTTGACCACACGAGGAGTCGAGAATGCACCGCGTGACACCGATCGCGCACTGTACTCACGCCGGAAGTAATAAGCGCGGAGAGCCATACAGTTTTACGCAATTGCGGCTTTCTCGGCTGCGAGAAAGCTCGTGCGGAGCGTTTATTTGCTGCGGGACACTTTCTCGCACTCCCTTTTGTGCCTGTGACTTCCTACCTATATGTTACTTTTATATTTTTATCTTCGTTTTCATACGTCTTCGCATTTGTTTCTAATTTGCTCTTCGTACTAACGTCGTGCTGCTTTTATCGAACAACGATATTCCAACGAGACGCTCCAGGATGGTTTAGCGCCGGTTTTTCCAGCCACTTCGTAAGCTAACATCAACTAACTGATGTCGATTCAATTATATCTTGGAAGCAAAGTTAAAGACAAAAATATACTGAACTATTAGTTAACTTACCAAGGGTTTGGAACAACCGGCCCTTAATCGAGGATCTTTCTAGCTATTCATTTATTGTATCACTCACCCTTGCAGCAGCGACGCTCTTCTCCGCCGAGACGCCGTCCAGCTCGACGCGCGCCCTCGCCGCCGTCGCGGCGCTCTGCTCCTTGTACGAGACGTCGCCGGCTTGCAGGGCCCTCATCTCCGCACTGTTCGCCGTCGCCTTCTCGGCGCTGAATCCGTCCGTGACGACCTAACGAGGATGAGTCGATTATTAGACGCGAGGGCAAGGTGAAAACTGGCTGAAACCGAGCTGAGATATCACGATGCACGGCGCCAAGTCTCGACGCTTTCCCGCGCGCGATACCCAAGGATAGGACTCGCAGTCCTTGACCTAGACTACCTGGAGGAAGCCGCACCTCGGCCGTCAAGCATTCGCTGCGCGTCTGAACGCTATCGCCGTTGTTTGCAACGTCTATCGTGTGCCGCGATTCGCTCGGCAAACGCGAGCTAAATCAATCGCGCAATTCTTATCAAATACGTATTTTTAGGCACGCGTTATTTTGCGGACAGCTCGCTGAATGGCTCGGCGAGGCCACGTGCTGATAGCGTGCGCGCGAGACCGGCTCCGTTTTCAATATTATGAAATTCGGTGTCGCGGCGAACCGACGCAAACATTCTACATTTTGTTGCAATTGTTATTTCCATTTCTGTCGCATTTTATCTTTATTTCACTAGTTCTTCTTCATCGAACTTGCAAAATCCGGGCAACGTCTCTCGCGAATCTTGCGAGAATCGTTTCTCTCTTGTTGAAATGAGTGATCGTCAGTTTTACAATAAAAATTAGATTCCAGACTTTATTCATGTACCGATTACTACCATCGTTAACTGTTGTTAATTAATTATTCCTAATAATAAAAATAAAATAAGATCTTCGGAAGAATAGAGTCCGAGTAGGATGTAGTCCAATGGTCTTCAAATTGTGTAAATTTTTATACCGTCCCCGACCCTGCGATCACTTTCGGTCTTCAAACACAGTTCTCTTTGGTGAAACATTATTGCCAGCAAAGACAAAGTCCTGACAATTATTAGTAGAAAAGCAATAATCCGAAGGATACGCCGAAGATATGCGAGGACGAGGGAAGCGTTGCAAACCTTTGTTTTTGAGGCGCTGGTCATTTTCTTCTGCTCGAACTTCATAGTTTCCTGACCGGCAGGTAAGTTCGCCATGTTCGGTATGTTTATCGGCGGACTTATGCTGTGATGAAGATTGTTCAGCGAATTCAGGGAACTCAACTGGGACGGAGAGCCGCCCGCCAGCGTGACAGCATCGCTGACAGGTGGCGGCGTGTCCGGATCCGGAAAAGTCACCAGCGGCTCCGTAAGATCGGTCTCCTCTGATCCACTGCCATCTCTGCGGAATCCACAAAAGAAATTCGTCAACTAAAACGCCTGTAATTGCTAATACAGAGAAAAGCTTTCTATTACGAGATAGGCTCCTAATATGAGATATCGGGCGTTTCTGTTAAATTAATAGGCACCGTCTGTTGACTCCACTGTGAATTTATTGCCCTTGGAGCGAAACCTGTTTAGTGGAAAATTCATCGTTAGAACGTGTAATCGTGGCGCGAAAAGATTCGTGATTGAATTTGGGTGTTGAAAATCTGCTATCTCATATTAGAAACCGATCTCGTAATAGAGGACTTTCCTCTGATTTTAATTCTAGAGAATTCGGTTAGAATTCATAGCTAGTTCAAAGCATTTTAACGCGGGTTTTAGTGCAGATTAATAAATTGATAAATTAGCGTTCAGTATTCTTTGCATTTTTTTCCCACAGTGATATAATCGCAACGCAATATTATCCTATATGAAGTATAAAACGACACGTGAGCAATGGATTAAAAATAATCTGACCGCCGCGAAAATAGCATGCGAATCGAAATTATGCGTACAAAAATATTCCCCGTTGACGCGTTTCGGAGCGCTCAGTTGCGAGAGCTTTAGCTGCGAAGTCTAAACGGGTGTCTGAATTTTTAGAAACCAAACAAAATGAATCACCGAGCGTTTGGTAACTGGAAATTGAAGAAGTAACTGAGAATCGAGAAATCTTCAACTTTTTACGAAAAGGTGGAGCCAACGATTCTTTAAATTATTACTAACAATAAAAGTGATTTTAAATATCTTTCAAGGCGAATTCCCGATCGCCAATTAAATTACTTCAATGCTCCGTTTATAAGAAAAATTTTATCATTTGACCCTTTACACTGTAAATCGTACAAAAATTAAAAAACTTCGAAAGGATAATCTATCATTTAACACAATCCAAAAGTAAAGATATGTTTTTATAAATTATCACGTATATATAGTCGAGAATTTTGAGATATAACTGCGTCAAAACAGCCAAGGAACACATTGCAATGGTTACATTACGTTCGTCACGCTGGCAAACTCGAGGATACTCTAAAAATACCAATCATTTCCGTAAGAAAAGCACGCGAAATGGCACGTCGTTTTCACGAAACACTCATGTTGCACGTTAAAAATTCTTTCGAAAACCACGCATTTTCCCCACATTGAACACTGTTTCGTCATCCCGAACTCATAAACAATCCAAAGAACCGCCGTGATCTACGGCGCAAGGTGTATCTCTCAAGGTTTCTTTCAAGGATTAGAGCTGGTCCCCTCGGGGACCAATTAACTTGGGACTGAACCAACCTGTCCACGAGGTTCTCCATGCTGCTGCGCAGCCGTTGTGAAAAGTTGGTCGAGATGTTCTTCATCTCCGAGATGCCGCGCTTGAGCTCCGTCAGGTCGCTCTTCATGGAGCTCGCCTTCATCTCACTCGACGAAGACGAGGTGAGAATCCTCTGCGAGGACTTGGCCACCCTGCTGCTGCTGCTGCTGCTGCTGCTGCTGCTCGTGCTAGTACTGGTGCTGCTACTACTCTGGTGTTGGCTCTGATTTGTCGTCAGCATCTGCCGAGTCAAAAGCCGTTTTCGTTCTATTTAAGATCTGTGTAAGATGATTCACTCCGCCACGGACCTCCCACCTGATTTCTATCTCTATCCCTCTTCCTTTTTTCTGTCTTTCTATTAGAGGTACCGAGTGCCATATAATCAATTTATTTATTAAGTTTCTAGACTTTATTCTTAATCTATTTTAAAAAGATAATCTTGCAATCAATTCTCTCTCCCCCCCCCCTCTCTCTCTCTCTCTCAATATTTTTGTATATTACTTTTATATTATGTAAAAATAATTTGTTCAATTTTTTTATTATTGTGAAAGTCATTCGACAACACACGCACACAAGTAAGATTTTTACCCCAGCCCTTTTATTGTACTTTACGTACCAGAGTCAGGCGATTCGCCTCGTACAAATGAGAAATAAGTACAGCTTCAGTGAATGAACCTTCGAGAGAGTAAACTAGAAAGGTTTAAAGGGAAAAATGTAAACAGCATCCGCAGTAGCACCACAGCAATGACTGCTGGCGGTGGGCCAGCAACCATTACGAGGCACGAGATGACTTGGCCGAGCCCGGAGACGAAAAGGGCCCCGTTATATTTAGAAAGAGGCAACGTTCTCTCGAAACGACGAGGGAAGGGACCTTGAAACGCGGCACCAAGGTTCACCAAGATTGCGCGGAATTAATCTTTAATGGAAAAATATCCACGTGGGCGGCCGCATTGCGTGGCAAATGCCTACAGCCGTTCGAGCGATCGCCTCCGATTGCTCGATGATCGGAGATGGTCTGACAAGTGGTTTCGCTCGTGAGACACGCAGCCACTTTGATCGCGACGTGTGTCATACACGTCGCCGGCATAAAAAATCATATGCATACAACGCATATTCAAGCCAAATGTGAAATCTACCATTCAAATCTGATTGAAATCTGATTTTTGCCTTTAAATTACGCGCGATACAAATGAACCGGTAAACGAAAATGCGCGCTATTTCATTGTTACTTTCGGCTTAATCAGAAATTTCGACGAGCAACCTATTTCCACCTCTATCTATCAGTAATATTGTGCAGCGTCGCGACCAACTTTTGTTTCTTCGGGAATTCAATACTTAAGGCCTGTCAGGCTGGTTTTACAATGGACCCAGTACGTCGCAAGCCGCAAGAAACCGGCCAATGGCGGTCGATTGTTCTTCTCATATTTGGCTGTGATTGGTCGATTCCTTGCGACTTGCTGCGTCATTGTAGAACCTGCGTTACGCAATGCGTCGTATGTCGCTGTCGGATGTCGAAACGTAGAGCAAAGAAATTGAAAAGAAATTTTTTTCGTTGGACCATCGGCTACGTCCCGACATCAGACAGCGACATACGACGTATTGTATAACAGGTCTGAGAGATCTAAAAGGGGTAATACGTGTCGATTGTAACCTTCCGTGTAACTTTCTTTACATTGTTCACCGTCGAATATTAATAATCAAGCTTTCTGAAATCTTGCGGTGTGCGGAGAAATAAATTAGACAAGAATGTGAATGGAAAGCGCGTCGCCAGTCAGGCGAATCGGTTGACTTTGCGCGAGCAGTGACGGCGATTATTATTTTAGGCGCTTTCAGCGGATCGCCAGCGATAGAAGCGTGACGCGCGAATAATCCCCAATTTCCGTGTCTACTTTCAGGAAATCCGTCTCAGGTGTGGGCGTCGGAGGCGCCGCGACACCTCATCTGGCGGAGAGAAGACGCGGAGGAGACGAGACAGGAAGATAGATTAAAGACCGCGTAATCCTCGCGCGTGAACCTCGGATTAGAAGAAACGGTCACGAGGAAGGTGACGATTGTGTTTTTCCCCGAAGCACGGCGAGGTCAAATAAATATTGCAACACGTCGCAACTCGTTTCTGCTGAATGTCCATAAAGATGCAAAGTGTGCGAAAGTGCGCGCGCCGCGGGTCTCCGTCACGCACAATTTCGATTTTATTCAAAAATCACAATGAAAGTCATGTTCTGTCGTTCGTGAAATTAAGACCAGTTCTTTTAGATTTACCATACGGATTTACTGACACAATAGTCACTCAAAATGGGCCGCGAACGATGGTCGAAACGCTGCGAGTTTAAACGTAAAAGTTTGCCAGGACATGGTCAAGTGATCTTCTGAAGTTATTAATTACTTCTGGCGACTTGTAAGATTTCCTCCAGTCTTGAGGTTTACACAGACGGATTTTTTAATTCATTTCGACACGCCTCGCGCGCGCGTGTCAATTAGCAGTAAATACTCGAAACGTATCGCGCGAGGACGTGTATCAACTCCTGCGGAAACACAGGCTACGGAAATACAAGTGACGCGTCTTTCTATCGTTTAAAAAGAAAATCGCGACAACGTCCCGCGGCGTCGGAGAAGCACGTCAAATATTTGATAGTCAAAGAACGGAGAACGGGACGAGTTCCGTGTCCGGAGATAATCACCTGCGACGACGTGGTGGTGACCTGCGGATGATGGCTGACGTGGTGCGTTCTGCCGGTCACCAAGTGATTATTCTTCTTCTGGAAGTTCTCCATGACGGTCTGCATGTCCCCGTTTTCGCCTCCCTCCACCGGGAACTCCGACATCTGCAGCAGACAATATTGTCGTCAAAGAGGATCGCGCGTAACCAAGATACTTGTTACAACAGATTTACGTATATATCAAAATTTAGTTTCAATTTAAATTTTATACACGCGCGCACGCACACACGCATACACATTTAGTTTATGTACTTGTAACGGAGATGTATTAACAATCGCGCGCACGGGTGTTTTAATTACGCGTTAATTAAGTCGGCGCAGAAACTCGTCGACTGCAAGGGCCTAATAATAGGCCCTGGGAAATAATTGGCAGCTCGGGGGCTTGGCCGAACTAGAGACAGAGAGACAGACAGAGATAGAATGACGGAGAGACAGGGAGAGACAGGGAGAGACAGGGAGAGACAGGGAAACACAGGGAGAGATAGGGAGACACAGGGAGAGACAGGGAGACACAACGAGAGACAGGAAGAGGTAAAGAGAGACAAGGAGAGACGGGGGAGAGAAAATGTGTGAGAGAGAGAGAGAGAGAGTTTGCGCCGATCTGACCGGGTAATGCACAAGAGTTACGTGCTCGCGTGCGTAAACGGGCGAAATATGCAAAGCGAGCCCACGCGTTCGTTAATAAAAAGCTCAGATCGAGAAACGCACGATCGAACCCGGATCTCTCGAGTGTAAACGCTCCGATTCCTAAAGGTGATCAAGCTTTCTAGTCTCGCGTGGCGGACGCCGATTCCGCGTCTACCGTACGACGGAATACTAAGCTCGTCGACGGAAATACCGTCGGGAATGCTCGAGAACGCTCGAGGTCGATATAAACGTTCGATAAAACTCGTCCGACAGTTGCACTTCGCCATTGTTCAGCCTGCATACGGTTACGTAACTCGGCGCGCTTCTGAAAAAAAAAAAACTATAGCGAGAGGATTTCGTGGCGAATAACGTTATTATCGCGCGCCGAAACTGTGCGGACGAAGCGTGAATGTGACGTTTAAAAATGACGTGCCTAAATAAACGCCGTCTTTTTGTTCCTGTCTTCGTGGACGGTATCGCGGCATGTCTGTGCTTTTGCATAACTCTTGCACGAATCGAAGGCGATCGACGAAAAAAGCACAGTTGCCGCGCCGCGGAGGCATCTCTCGACTTTAAAATTAACTGCATTTGATAATCTCTGCGAAAGAGTTATTACGCGCTGTTATCACATCGTTTATATGCAGTTACACAATACGCAGATAATTTTACGATATAAACAACAATGCGCTCAGCAAGATCGCAGTCGCGTAACTTTCATATTTCTACGAAGGAGCCGATATACGACTTGATGGAAATGAATGTCGTCCAAGTGTTACGCGGAATCTCACGAACATGTCGCTCGTTTGCTGCAACAGCGGATGCAATTCAAACATTGCCAGGTTTAAGTCGTTCACAAAAGAACCGCGAGACTTCAACCGAGAATGAACACATCGAAAACTAATCACATTAGCTAGATTACCTAAATTACTAGGTTTTGTCCAGTCAGTTGTTAAAATCATCAAACTCGCGTTTAAGAATGCGATATAAAGTTTTAACAATTTAACACATTCAGATTTACTTTCCGGAAAATTGCTTTTTCTTTTTAGCCCCGTTATTGTTGCAACACACCCACAGAAAAAATTTCCGGATCCAATGCTGTTACACTTGAATGTATCATAAAATGGGATCGATATAAGCGCCAATCATATTTGTTATAGAGAAAGGAATAGTTTAATCTTAAATAAAAACTCTAAAATCTAGAATAAAATGATAGTATGTCTCGACTTTTGTCGATTATCACGGTGCCAACTTCGCGCGTTGTAAGATGGGGAAAAAATTTATTTACAAACTTACATTTATATAAGTTACTCTTGTCTCAATATAGTAAGTCAATCCTTTTTAATTCGATGGAGGAGAATAATTATTGATTTTATTTTGATATTGTCTTAGTTTTATACTAAATGAGCTTGTGAGAAATATAAGTACGTCAAGAATACTTTCTGTCTCGGTAACAGTAACTCGGTAACACTTCGTACGATCGAGTTAAATTTCGCTGATTTTAATTTTGCCGCCCAGCGACGGCTATTTTAATTACTTCCGCTTGGCCTATACAACTGTTGTTTACATAAAATGTAATGCATCGCACGATCGCTTTTTCGAGTCTCCACTCATTGTCAGTCGCGAGCGCATCTGCGAGACATGCGCCAAAGTGCATCGGCATAGCGTATGCATTTGCGTTGCGTCCGAGCGGGCCGTTTCGCGGCATGAATGCAACTACACAATCGGCACAAGTGCAACTATCGCGAGACGTGCGTGGATGGGCGATACGTTGGCATTCCGTCCATTCTTTCGATAATTCCGCGGGATTTGCATAGGCGTGGGCGCGCAGAACTCGGGCGCGTGCAACACGCGACAACGCAATATCCAGCGTCTTTCGGGAAACTAACCGAGCCGCTTTGATCCCCTCGGCATCTTCCCGCGCAATAAAATAATTTCCTTCGCGCGACAAAAGCTATTGCACAGAAAGGCTTATAGCCTCGCTCTCCTCGGCGAGGGAATTCGGAAGAAATAATCTGCGCGAAATGATATTTCGCTAACTTGACGAAGATTTGTATAAATAATAGAAGGATTACTAAACTCTCTCGGTATTTATCAGATACACGGGGGAGATCTGGAGTTAGGCGCGAATGCCGAGAGAACCAGAGTGAGTCCCGGAACCAGGTGGTGCATCCTTAAGTCAAGGACCATAATTCTTTCCAATCAAATGGGTGAAAACCGGTTTTAGAGACTCGCGAGTCCTGTCGAAATGTATAGGGTCTCAATTTGTGATCCCCTCTTTAGGACACATAGACTCCGAGCGTGTCAGGACGAAACGCGAGAGGATTGCAAATCGACGAAAAGTGCTACAAGTAAATCGAACATTCGGCTGAAGGGTCCGGCGACACTGAAAAAAGTCTTTGAAAATTTATTTATGCACTGAAAAAAAATCTGATAGATTCAACCAGTCGTCTGTTAGAAAATTAACGAATCAGAATTCCCTTAGGGTTTACCTGATTTGTAGTGAAGTCTAGCAAACTTCTGGTTATGAAATATCTTTCATGGTAAATTCTAAAGGAATTCTGGTAAATCCTAAAGGAATTCTGATTCGTCCATTTTCTAACAGACGACTGGTTAAATCTATCAGATTTTTTTT